AGTAACTAGTGGAAGTTATTTTGCACTTAGATTCTGTATTCCATTTCTTCTCTCAAAGAAATACAATAAAGTTGTATAAATTCTGTTATTGGAGAAAGAATTTATTAGTATGACTACTTGACAGTAATGAAGTTTTTTGATGTAGGTTTGTCAAGTTCAAATTTGAGGTTTATTTGGGTTATTTGTGTCCTCTCTTGTTTATCTTTTGTCACCAGTGGTTTGTCAGTTTTGTTGCTCTTTCAAAGAACCAACTTTTGGTTTTGTTGATTCTTTCTATTGTTTTTCTGTTCTCTAGTTCATTTATTTCTGCTCTGATCTTTATTATTTCATTTCTTCTGGTGGCTGTGGGCTTTTTTTTGCTGTTCTCTTTCTTTTTGTTCGAGTTGTGTAGTTAATGTTTTGATTTTGTCCTTCTTTTTTGATGTACGCATCTATTGCTATAAATTGTCCTCTGAGGACTGCCTTTGCTGTGTCCCAAAGATTTTGGTATGATGTATTTTCATTCTTGTTTGATTCTAGGAATTTTTTGATTCCATCTCTGATTTCTTCTATTACCCAGTGGTTTGTAAGCAGGGTGTTATTCAGTTTCCATGTAATTGATTTTTTTTTCCTTGCTCCTCTTGTTAATTTCTACCTTGATGGCGTTGTGCTCAGAGAAGATACTTTGTCTTATCTCAAGTTTTGGATTTTTTTGAGGGTTGCTCTGTGGCCTAAGATGTGGTCTGTTCTGGAGAACGTTCCATGTGCGTTAGAAAAGAGTATGTACTTTGCAGCAGTTGGGTGTAGTGTTCTATATATGTCTGTGAGGTCAGGTTGGCCGATTGTGCCCTTTAGGTCTTCTGTATCTTTTTTGAGTTTCTTTCTAGATGTTCTGTCCTTCACCGAGAGTAGTGTGTTGAAGTCTCCTACTATTATTGTGGGACTGTCAGTTTCTCTTTTCAGTGCTGTTAGAGTTTGTTTTATGTATTTTGCAGCCCTGTCATTGGGTGCATAGATGTTTATTATGGTTATGTCTTCATGATGGATCATCCCTTTAATCACTATACAATGTCCTTCTTTGTCTTTTATGGTGGATTTTGATTTAAAGTTTATTTCATCTGAGATTAGTATTGCCACTCCTGCTCTTTTTTGGTAGCTGTTTGTTTGATATATTTTTTTCCATCCTTTGATTTTTAATAAATTCACATCTTTGTTTCTAAGGTGTGTCTCTTGTAGAAGCATATTGATGGATCCTGTTTCTTAATCCATTCTGTCACTCTCTTTCTCTTTATGGGTGCATTTAGGCCATTTACATTCAGTGTAATTATTGATAGGTATGAGTTTATTGTTGTCATTTTGTAGTGCTTTTTTTGTGGTGCTGACAATTTCTTTGTTTCTCGTACTCTGCTGTGCTGAATTCCTTTAGTTTGTGGATTTTTTTCATTTCTTTCATTTTTGTAGAGTTTGTTTTTACTGAGACTTTGTTTTTCTTCTTTATTTTGATGAATAGGTTTGTTAACTTTCTTTGTGGTTTCCTTGAAATTTACCCTTATCTTCCTAGGTTTGAACTAGTCTATTACTACTTGGTATCGCCTTGCCTTCCTCTCCATTAGAAGGTTCTATATCTACACCGTTTATTCCCTCTTTTATTGTTCTGATGTTGTTGTCATTTACAGATTAACCTCTCTGGTTCCCTGTTATAATTCTTTTGGTTTTGGATAGTCCTTGAGAGTTCATTTACTTGGTTGGTATCGGGCTGGTACAATCCTGCATCTTAGATTCAGCCTTTGCTCTGATGTTGTTTGTTCTCAGACCAAAAGACTCCCTTTTTTTGTAAGTTTGGTTTGGTTTTTACATATTCCTTAATTTCTGTTTATCTGGAAGTGTCCTCTAATTTCACCATCATGTTTGAACAAGAGTTTTGCAGGATATATTATTCTTGGCTGGCAATTTTTTTCTTTCAAGGTTTTATATTTGTCATCCCATTGCCTTCTTGCCTGCGTGGTTTCTGCCGAATAATCCGAGCTTAGTCTTATTGTTTCTCCTCTCTATGTGACTTTTTCTTTTTCTCGAGCTGCTCTCAGTTTTTGTTGTTTGTCTTTGGTTTTAGTGAGTGTGATTATGATATGCCTTGGTGATTTTCTTTTGGGATCTATACTGTATGGGGTTTCTTGAGCTTCTTGGATGGTCAGCTTTTCATCTTTCATGATATTGGGGAAGTTTTCTGTCAGCAATTCTTCAATGATCCTCTCTGTGTTTTCTGTTTTCTCCCCCTGTTCTGGAACTCCAATCACTTACAGATTTTTGCTTTTGATTATATCCCACATAATTTTCAGGGTTTCTTCATTTTTCTTTGTTCTTTTTTTCTGATTTTTCCTTAAACAGAGTTGTATCCAAGTGTTTGTCTTCAATTTCACTGATCCTGTCTTCCATCATTCCAGACCTGCTCCTCAGCCCTTCTGTGACACTGTCCATTTCTGAAATCTTGTTTATCTTTTGGATTTCTAATTGTTGTTTTTGTATGATTTCTAGTTGTGAATTTATTTTGGCATTTTCTTCCTGTATTATTTTCCTGAATTTTTCCATTTTTTTGTCTGTATTTTCCATGAATTTGTCTACCATTTCCATCAATTTTTGTCTATTTTTTCCTCATTTTTTTGTCTACTTTGTGCTTCAGCTCTTGGATAGCTCTGAATATTAGAGATTTTAATTCCGTGTCAGGTAGTTCTAGTGCCTTTTCTTCTACTGGAAAGTCATCTGATGTTTGTTTTGGATGCCTACTGGAACCATCCTGTCCTTTTTTTTGTATGTTTTGATATTGTCTGCTGTCTTCAGGACATTCAGTAGTTATGGTCCTTGTTTATTGATTGTAGATTTGTTTCGTCCTGCTTTTTTGTTTTATTTGGTTATGTCTGAGCAGGCGGGCTATGTGTTCTATGTTGTTTGCTCATCTTTGGGCATGATACTTTTTGCCTCCTTGTCCAATGGATACGGTCACTCGCTCAGCTATGGTGCAGCAGCACAGGTCCAGCGGAAGTAGATTTGCTGGGATGGCTTGTTTGTGGCACGTACTAGGGCCGACAGGGCAGGCTGGGAATTAGTGCGGGGCAGGTTCTGGTAGGCTGTACCTGTGCTGCTCAGGGGTTTGATGTTCAGTGCATGGTGCATGTAGGCAGGAAGGAGAGGGAAGATTATGACGTGTGGAGGTAAGATGGGTACGGGAAAGAAGAGCGAGAGGAGAGAGAAACAGGAGCCAGAAACAAACAAACAAACAAAAAAAGAGTGCTAATGGAGCTTTCTGTTGGAATGGATGGATGAGAGACCGAGAAATGGAGAAAAAGAAAAGGAGAAAAAAAGATAAACGGTAAAAGAAAAAAAGTAAATAAAAATTAGAAAAAAAAAAGCGAAGCCCCCAGGATCCCACTGGTGTGGCTGTGAAGACTAGGGAAGTGGCTCCCAGGCCGTGAATTACAGCCTGGCTAGAAAGGGTAGAGGTGTCACAAGCGCCAGGTATTCAGGAAACAGGAAGAGAAAGTAAATATAGAGAGACGAGAAACAGAAATGAAGAAGGAGTTTAAGGGGAAAAGAGAGAAAAGAAAAGAAACAAAAAAGGAAAAAAGAAATACCCCGGGATCCCTCTGTACAGCTGTGGAGACTGAGGAAGTAGCTCCCATGCTGTGCAGTACCGCCCCGCTAGAAGGGGCTCCGAAGCCGAGAAAAGAAAAAGAAAACAAACAAATCAAAACAGAACAAAGCAAAGTAAACAAACAAAAAAAAGTCCCAGGGATCCCACCAGCATGGCAGCCTGGGCCGGGAAGCAGTTCCACAGTCAAGCGGCTTTTCACAGCCTTTCAGGAAGAAGCAAAGATGGCACACAGAGCCAGGTATTTGAGAGAAATGGGGGGAGGTGGTGAGAGGTATGGAAGAAACCAAAAGAAGTGGAAAAAAGCAACACCAACAACAAAGAAATGGCACTCAGGGAGCTGACCAGTGTGGGTGGGTGGAATCCAAGGGTCACAGGGTTGAAGCTGGTGCCTTCCAGACAAGAGACTGTGGCCGCAGGAAGCAGAGGAGTCTGAGTGGGGGTGAAGAAGTGTGGGGGGTGGGAGAGCATATATTGCTGGTTACCAATTGTTTTGTCTCCTGCTGGGAGCTCCGTGAAGCTGCCTTCTCATACTCCCTGTTTGCTGATCTCTGACAGGAGTCCAAGATGTCGAATCCGTGCTGCATTAGCTGATAGGGGACCTCTGCATGTGTCTCTCTTTGCTCTCTGTTCTCTGTCAGTTTCTTATTGCATTTAGTGCTTGGCTGAGTTCTTTGTCTCTTCGTTTGACGCTTAGGGTTTCAGGATTAACATATGTCTCTATTTGACTTAGTTTTTTGGGTCTTTGCTATGGAGGGACAGCGTGGTGCTTCTGTCTATAGTACCATGTTGCCCAGAAGTCCCCACATTTGAGGTTTAATGCATGTATTTTGTTGTTGTTAGTTGCCGGTGAGTGCGCACTGACCCATGGTGACCCCATGTATAACACAATGAAACGCTGCCCAGTCATTTGCCATCCTCATGATCAGTGGCATGCTTGAGTCCATTTTTGTCACTCTTCTTCCAGCTCTATATTGAAAAATATTATGTTGTGATCCATAGGGCTTTCATTGGCTGCTTTTCAGAAGTAGATCACCAGACCTTTCTTTCTAGTCTGTCTTCTCTGTAAGCCTCACTGAAACCTGTCTAATTCCTTTTTGATATAATTAGAACAACTACTGAGGATCACTGCACATGAGTTGAATGATTAGTTTGAGAAGGGTAGGATAGACATTAACTAGAGTTGAGGAAATATTAATTTCTTTGATGAAAGATTAGAAACAAAAATAATTAAGAGCAGGAATTACATCTTTGTATCTTCCATACTTACTTGCACTCAATAACTCAATTGTTCTTAATGAAAATGCCATGACTTAAAATTTCTCTGCATAATATTTACACATTAAGCAAAATAATTTTTTCTTATGAATTTCCTTAGAGCTTAGGTTTTGAAGCTTCTTTGGTCAAGAAGGATCGGTCAGCAAGTCACCTAGACCATAAACGAGAAATAAGACAGTAAGTATTTTTGGAGTGTTAGTAAAAAACATATTTTACTAAAATGGATCAAAGAAGAAATCAGTAGAGAAAAAAATATTTAGAGTTGAATGAGAATGAAAACACAACACACCAAAACCTATGGGATGCAGCAAAAGCAGTACTCAGAGGGAACTTTATAGCAATAAACAACTACATTAAAAAAGAAGAAACATCTCAAATCAATAATCTAACTCTACAATCTGAGGAATTAGAAAAGGAAGCACAATCTAAGCCTATTGCTACCAGAAGTAAGGAAAATAATAAAGATCAGAGTAGAAATGAATGAAATAGAGAATAGGCAAACAGTAGAATCAATGAAGCTAGAAGTTAGTTTTTTGAAAAGATCAATAAAATTGACAAAACTTTTGCTAGACTGAAACAGAAGAAGAGAAGATGCAAATATCTAAAATTAGAAACAAAAGCAGGGACATTACACCCAATCCTACAGAAATAAAAAAAGATTGTAAGGGGCTACTATGAACAGTTGTATCCCACCAGATTAGATAATTTAGAGCAAATGGACAAATTCCTTAAAACACGTAAACTCTCTACACTGACTCAGGAAGAAGTAGTGGATTTCAACAGACCCATAACAAGTGAAGAGATCGAATAGGTAATCAAAAATGGTGCCCGGCTACCATTACTGTACATTTTGAGCTAAGATTTCATAGACGAATCCTGATCCAAAGGGAGAAAATGCAGAACAGAATTTCAAGTTTTCATGGACTTCCTGAAGCCATGAAGGTTGGATTATTCCCTGAAACTTGCCCTGAGATAATCTTTAAACCTTAAACCAAAAATATCCCCTGAAGTCTTCTCAAAACCAAACAGTAGTTTAGCTTAGCTAGTAAAAAATTGTCTGCCTTGCGCATTATGCTTTTTTAAGAACTATATGCGATCAGCTTGACCACAGCAACTCGAAAGATTAGATAAGAACCTTAGGAGGCAGTGAATTTATGTTAATGGGGAAGGAACAACTCAGAAAAGGAAGGTGAGAATGGTTACACAACTCGAACAATGTAATCAGTGCCACTAAATGGTACCTGTAGAAACTGTTGAATTGGTATATATTTTACTGTGTATCTTCTCAACAACAAAATAAATAAAATCACGTATTTAAAAAACAAACAAACAAAAAAACTCCCAACAAAGAAAACTCCTAGACCAGATGGCTTCACTGGGGAATTCTATGAAACATTTATAGAAGTAGCTCCAATGTTATTCAAAATTTTCCAAAAAATAGAAGATGAGGGAACGCTACCTAACTCATCCTATGATGCAAGCATTACCCTGATAACAAAGGCAGACAAAGACACCAGAAGAAAATTTACAGACCAAAATCCCTAATGAATATAAACTCAAAACCAAACCCACTGCCGTGTAGCTGATTCTGACTCATAGCGAACCTAATGAATATGGATGCAAAAATTTTCAATAAAATACTAGCAATCCAAATGTGAAAAACAGATTTCGACTCCTGCTTACAAATTTAACATCTTGTTAGAATGTCAGTTTTTACAATATTGTTGTTATACTGGGTAGAGTGATCACAGCTTATTGTATTTTATGTATTACAGAGTCTTTAACTATTAGTTCTTTCTGAAAGGATTTTTCTGTTCTTATTTTTTCTATATTAGATGGAGACGATCCTTTCTAGTGAGCCTGTTTTTTTGTATTCCTGTAATGGGGCTGATGATATATATGATGGTTATGGACCACCACCTTGCAGCTCTTCACCATAATCAGAACATGAGTCAGGAAGAAATGATCAACATTCATTCTTCTATGTTCTTGGAACACCAGATCCTGCCAGGATTGTCCATTATGAATTTACTATCCTTTTTATTGTGTGTACCTGTACAGGCAAGTTAACTGTTAGCAAGTATATTTGTTAATAATGAAAATAGCCAAAATGTGGCAGGCAAGGTTATTTTCAGTTGCAAAACAGATAGTAGTCAGAAGTCTGATTATTTTATGTTGGATGCTTGTAAAAATAATCTTAAACTGAGTAGTTATTTTAAAGTCAATAAAGATTCTATTTAACTCCTAAGAATACTGTTTAATGACAAAGCAGGAAATAAAAGGTTCAAGATTTTTGGAGTGGTATTCATCGCTGCTATTGTATATAATTTTATGTGTGTTATTTCTCCCTGGTACTTGACTTCATTGCTTTCTGTATGTTGTGAACCCTTATTTTGAGATAAATTTTTTATGGTGGAACGTTTCTGTCTAATAAATCGATTATTTTACATAATCCCTATAAAAGGCAATAGCAGTTTTAAAATCACCTTAGTATATTTTTCTATACCAATGAAAAATAAGCTTTCTAGTTATGTTTACCAACGAGAACAGCCAGCAGATCCGATGGTTTGTGATACACCACTTATGTTGAATCAGTTTTATATAGAAAATCCTTGTCAAAACAATGTAATTCTTTCCCTAGTTTTTGTTTTTACTACCATAAAAAAAAAGAAATCCAAGAACCATCTGACTTTCTTTATATTATGGAATATCCGTGGAATCATAGAGGACAAGCCCTCAAGGGCATGAAGCAGAAGATTGTTGTGCAGCAATTTTAATATTTCCCTCCACACACATGTAATGCTAAAATACAAACAGTATTGTTTCAACTTAAAAATATCTTCTTATTGTTTATGGGTTAGATAAAAGCCAAAGAAAGTTAATAATGATACTTTCCCATAGTTATTGAGGTATATATATGAATTTCACCATTTAAAAAATTCAATGATTATTGTTCCTATATTGCAGTTTTTCGGAGGCTGGTATTTCTACATTCAGGCTTACAAAGCACTGAAGCATAAGACTGCGAATATGGATGTACTGATTGTGCTGGCAACCACCATTGCATTTGCCTACTCTTTGGTTATTCTTCTGGTTGCAGTGTATGAAAGAGCCAAAGTGAACCCTATTACATTCTTTGACACACCTCCTATGCTATTTGTGTTTATTGCACTAGGTCGGTGGCTGGAACATATAGCAAAGGTAAAGTAAGAAAGGTGACATTTATTTAAATCTCGAGTGGATAAATGACCATAATAATTTCTAGACCAATTATTAGAAGTATACATTGGTTTATATAGCTAACCTTTGACTGAAATAAGTATTTTTGTTTGGCAATATTTTTGTTAAATATTCCTTGAAAGATTTACCGAATTTATGGAATACTGAGATAGAGTAGTATGCCTGTGTTTATTTTAAAAGAGACATTTGGAAAGTACCTGTGATTTATCTCATATCACATTATTAATTGAAAAATTGATGTGACAATAAGGTTTAAAATAATGCTGGAAAATATTCACCCATAGTCCCATGCTATAATGTAAATTATTTTCTACTCCTGTTCCACATGCCTTTATAGTTTATAGAGTTGGAAACATAGAATACGTACTACTTTTTACCTTTAACACTATAGCATTTTTCTATGTTTATTCAGTCTAGATCATTATTAGATATTTCTGACTGATATTCTGTTAGTGTGCTATAATTTACTAAACCATTCTGGTTTTTGTTCTCAAATTGTTTCCAATTTTTTTTATTTTAGATAATCTTGCATTGCACATATTCTCGTCTATTAGTCATTTCTATTGAACTAGTATCTTAGGATAAATTACACAGGATGTGATTACCGGGTTAAAGGACATATATCTTTTTATGGCTTATGCTTCAAGTTGTAACAATTTTACAGTGCCAGCATGAGTATGTCAGTGAGCTCATTTTACTACAACTTCATTGGCATTGAGTTTTATCTAAGTTCTTGCTAAGTTAGTGGGTATTAAATGGTATTTCAGGGTTGCTTTAGTTTGCATTTCTTCCATTAATTGCAGGGTAAACATTTTCCCATGCTTTGGGTATTTATATTTCCTCTTAAATGAATTGCCTTTTTATGCCTGTGTAAGTTGGGTTCCTAATATTTTTCTTATTGATTTGTTTCTTTATAAATTATACCTAATAAAATTTTTAAAATATTTTGTGTAGTTCATATTTTTGAAGTGAAAAAAATTTCTGATTTGAACAAATTTAACATTTTTAAAGCTATCTTTTGAATAAATGCTAAAGGTTATATCTTTATTTTAGTTAAGACCAGAACTTTTTCTTCCTTAGCATTGTGAACATATTTGTTTTAATTTGTAGGGCAAAACATCAGAGGCTCTTGCAAAGCTAATTTCGCTGCAAGCTACGGAAGCAACTGTTGTAACCCTTGACTCTGATAATATCCTTCTGAGGTATTTGTCTTCATTGTTCCCCCCCCCCATTGAACTTCTCATGTAAAATTTCAAATATGCACAGAAGTAGAGACAAGCGTGTAATGAACCCAGATAATCTGTCTCCCAGTTTCAACAGTTATCCACATTTTGCCACTCTTATTTCATCTATTTTATTTTTCTTTCTGTTGCTGCTGCAGTATTTTAAAGCAGATTAAGGACATCTTCATATGTAACTATAATACCATATCACACCTAACATAATTAACAATAATTCCTTAATATCATCTAGTAACCAATCCATATTCACATTCTTCCAGTTGTCTCCAAAATACTTTTTTAAGTCTTTGTTTGAAAAAGAATTTTAAAAAAAGCCTGTTTGACTCTAGTGCTTCTTATGTCTCTTTTCATTTAGAACAAACAGCTTCTCTCTCTCTCCCTCTTTCTCCATATAATTGACTTGTCAAAGAAACATCCATCAGTTGTCCTGTAGAATGTCCCAGTCTGAATTTGTTTCCTTGACTCATTGTGGTGTCATTTAACTTGTTCTTTACCTCTTGTGTTACCTGTAATGTGGAAGTTAGAGCTGAAGGCTTGATTAAATTTAGTTCTTTTGTATTTCTTATTTTTATATTCATAAAATTGTTTAGGTAAATTAAGAAACCCAAGATCAAGCCCGTTGCTGTTGAGTTGATTCTGACTCATGGTGACCCCATGTGTTACAGAGTAGAACTGCTCTGTAGGGTTTTCTTGGCTGTAATCTTCATAAAAGCAGATAATCAGGCCTTTCTTCTGTGGCACTGCTAGGTGGGTTAGAACTGCCAACCTTTAGATTAGTAGTTGAGTGCAAACTATTTGCACCACCCAGAGACCTTCAGCAAATTTACACAATAAATTGTTCAGTTAAGTAAAACCCATTACATTATTTTTTAAAGCTTTCATTTATTTGTTCAGTAACTATTTAACAAATATTTAGAGTACCTACTTTGTGTCATGAGGCATTAGTGGTTCATTGGTGGAATTCTCACCCTCCATGCAGGAGACCCCAGTTTGATTCCCGGCCAATGCACCTCATTCTCAGCAACCACCTATCTGTCATTGGAGGCTTGCATGTTTCTATGATGCTTGAACAGGTTTCAGTGGAGCGTCCACAATAAGATAGACTAGGAAGAAGGGCCTGACAATCTACTTCTAAAAATCAACCAGTGAAAACCCTATGGATCACAGTGGCCTGATTGGTTCAGGCAGTGTTTCGTTCCATTGTGCATGGGGTTGCCATGAGTGAGGGGATGACTTGACATCAACTAACAACAACTTTGTGCCAGGTACTGTTCTGTTCACCAACAGTGAACAGGACAAACAATGTAGTTCCTAGCGTAAATGTTGATTCTAGCTTCTCTTGGTAGTAATTATGGAGCTACATGCTTTTCATGTTAATTTATTTCCAGTGAAGAACAAGTGGATGTGGAACTTGTACAACGTGGAGACATCATCAAAGTGGTTCCAGGAGGCAAATTTCCAGTGGATGGTTGTGTTATTGAAGGACATTCTATGGTAGATGAGTCCCTTATCACAGGTATGTTATTACAGAGGATCATGACATGAAAGTGAAGTTAATCCAAATTGTTAATGAAAAATAGCTATGAAAGGTGACGAGCTTTTTGTAGAAACTATGGGATATGTAAATTATGAGCAATGAGGGAACATGAGTTCTTTTTAAGACTGTATTAAACTAATCTCCTCAGATTATTTTGTGGTTGTGATTATGCTATTGAAGTCCCTTTTCACTTAGTGTCTTTAATTACTAGAAAGTATAACCAAAGGAAATTGTCTCAGTCTGCTGTAGAGCCTGATAGACTTTGGCACATTTTCCTGGACAAATACCTATTCTGTCTTCCTGCCCTAAAGATTGGTCTAGTCTGAGCTGGGATAGGACTTCAGGCTTCCACATCAGGGTCCACTCTAAGAGGGTAGGCCTGGGGTAGTCTTAGAGGTCTTAGATAATTAAGGCCAATCTGGAATAGAATCACAATAATACCTTTTTACCTTAACCCTCAGGATAGTCTCAGAAGAGACTCATCTTATGGACCATGTGGAATTAATTTAGGATGTTGTGTTTCTCAGTATGGGCACTATTGCTAGTTTGGACAGGACAATTCTTAGTTCTGGGGGACTGTCTTACACACTGCAGTACATTTAGTACCCTGGCCCACTGATACTGATGAATTCCAGTATCAGTATCCCATGCCCCCCAGTCATTATTATAAGCAAAAATTCCCTTCCATATTTCCAAATGCTCCTTGGAAACAGGTTGAGAACCAATGATCTAGATCTGAGGTGGCTCCCCTGAAGTATCACCCAATAAGAGCAAATATGTTAGGTTTTTTCCAGTTTAAGATATGAATCCCTGGGTTTGGCCTAGAACTGACATAAGGAGAAAGGGAAGGCAACTATCACCTAGGCATTTGTCTAGTTTCTATTTCATGAAGTAAGAATCTCCTTTCTAAATATTTTTTGACAAGTAACAAATAACAATGTGTTTGTGATAGTGTTCATTTATGCTTCCTAAATCTATCTTTACTTGTCATACAGGGGAGGCAATGCCTGTAGCTAAGAAATCTGGCAGTACAGTAATCACTGGTTCCATTAACCAGAATGGGTCACTACTTATCCGAGCAACTCATGTTGGAGCAGATACAACTCTTTCTCAAATTGTCAAACTTGTGGAGGAGGCACAAACATCAAAGGTAACTTAACTGCCTAGATTAAACAGGATTTTCTTTAAAGCTCTCTCAGCATAAATCTTGATCTAGTTTTTATATTCTCCTTTGACATATTATTATTTTTTAAATTCTAGGCTCCTATCCAGCAGTTTGCAGACAAACTCAGTGGCTACTTTGTTCCTTTTATTGTTATTGTTTCTATTGCTACCCTCTTGGTTTGGATTATAATTGGATTTCTTAATTTTGAAGTTGTGGACACCTACTTTCCTGTAAGTGACTTGTAAGAACTCTTTACTGTGTGTGAAAGAGTTTGTGAATCTTTTGCATAAGTAATTAAGTGGAAAATAACTTTAATAATTACTAGTATTTTTAAGGGGCTAGAATTGGAGGTTGATGAGAATAACATTTGTATTTCTGAAAGTATAAAAGGTTTTTTTTTTTTTAAATTGTACTTAAGGCTTACAGAACAAATAGTTTCTCATGAAACAGTAGTACACATATTGTTTTATGACATTGGTTAACAACCCCACAACATGTCAACCCTCTCCCTTCTC